GCGGGCCTAACGCTCAGCAGACAACAGCCGCTAAAAAGAGCAGCGCAAAACAACGCAGCGAGGCGCGCCAGGCATCCAGCGCAAATTCCAACCAGGCCTCAACTTTAAACATTTTCAAGAAAGTTACAGAGAAGATTTAAATTTCTGGTAATAATTTACAGAACAGTTAAAATGCATTAAGAGAATATCACAAGAACACTATCAGTGTATTTAGGAGCAAAAGCTGTGCTGTAAATCACAGTTGTTGATTTGCATTATTTTGGCACTTACCGTATTTTTCGGACTATAAGGCGCACCGGATTATAAGCATAGTTGCCAAGTCCGCTTATTATAAGTGACCTTGGGCTTGTTTTTTCCTAAAGTCGCTTGCAAATCTTGTAAGTCGTGGGTTGCTGTTTTTTGGGCTTGTTTTGAACGTGAAGTTGTTTATTTGGGCTTGACTTTCTTTCCGAGTGAAACTAGTTGGTTATCTCCCAGCTCCGCACAATAAAGCAAAGACGAGTGGTAGTAGGTAGTTTGTCCCTTCCATGCCCCCGTTCCCTGTTTATTGCTCCCGCCCAAGTTGGCGAGGCGACAGGCACACACAGACACACATAGACATTTACAAATACGTCTGTGGACGCGCACCACAAACACTCATCCTGTGGCCAACCACTAGGGGGCTCCACTCACACGCAGATGTCAGGATGTTTTGTTTTTAAAAATACGTAGAAAAAAATGTACATATGCAAAATGTATTTTTTTTTTATATCAGAGCTTAAAAGTATGTTATTCAAAGTGTTTAGCATAATTTTGCTGTTGTTTATGTGTAAGACCATAATAAATGTATGTTTATACTGGTTAAAAATGGCCTCTGTTTTACACAATGTGGTGGGTTGCCAGTTGGGCTTGTTTTGGGTTTGTTTTCATAGAGCTGGTTGGTTGTTTCTATTGCGAGATCTGGCAACACTGATTATAAGGCACGTTTAGCAAAACCAAACAGTCAGATAAGTCAAACTTTATTCAACTCATGCACAATAACTCTCAACATTGTTCAGTTGTAAAACAGAAATAAAATTGGTTCGAGGTCAGTAAGCACAACCAGAATTAAGGTGCACCGGATTTTTGATTTTTGAGAAATCTAAAGGATTTTAAGTGTGCCTTATAGTCCGAAAATGTGGTATTAATTTTTTGACAACAAAGTGGAAAAAAATACAACAATTAAAAATAACTCACTTGAACATGTGACGCTTCTGCAGACAGTAATGAGCCATCACCTCTTCAGAAGGCCACACACCTAAATCAAAGACATCAAAATGGAGACCGTTTCACATCTGATCCTAATTTAGCAACATGTTTTCATTTACAAAGCCTCTTTGGTACGAAGGCAGACCTGGATTGTCATGTCTAAACATCAGAGGACAATAAAACGGATATAAAGCCTAAATAGGCACAATGAGTAGTCGGTGAAACATAAAGAGAAGTGTTGTAGTTTCCAGTCTGTGTTCATTTGCTTCTCTTGTGGTTTCCACCTTGCTTGTGATCCAAGGCTTCTCTGTCTGTTCGTCCATCTGTCTATCCTAAATCCTTGCAACACACTCTCTCATTGGCCATTGTGTATGCAAGTATAGGAGCAAGTGTGTGTGTAAGACAGGGGGTCCAGTGTGTGATAATCACAGTGTGCAGGCCTGTCTGCCTTATCACCTACAGTCAGCCCTTCTCCTTCTGCCGTGCATGCAACACACACTGAAACACACACTTGCATGCTTCAAACTATTTCCCCTCTTTCTTTGCACACGCACACACACGTACAACTGGAGACAAATACACACATCTTGGCAGTGGAAGAAGTAAACATTCATTTGAATAAAACTTCGGCTTTCTGCTTCTGGCTTTGAACAAAAAGGTTTGCCTCGTGTGCGTGTTTCTATATGCACGCACGAGCCGGTGTGTGGTTTATACACTGAAGTTTTTAGTGAGGGGGAAAAAAAAAGAAGAAGAAGAATGAGGGGATATAGAATAAGTTGGCGAAAGCAAGTAAGCGAGGGAGACGGATGAAAATGAGCGAGGTAAAGAGGGAAAACCGGGGAGGGTTAGAGGAGGAGAAAGAAAAGGTGGTTGTCGATATAATAAGCGGCTTACAGGCGGTCTCTCATCACCTCGTGGGGCAGACATCACTGCTCTCCCACTCTCCTTCTCTGCGTCTATCTCTCTTATTCAACCTTTTTCCGACTCTCTCTCTTTCCCCTCGCTCCGGTCCGCCAAGATTAGCTCAAGCAAGCAGGATTTAATAATGCCTATTGATAAAATGTCCAAATATTCCTTTTCCCCAATAGGAAAAAAAAAATGACAGTCACAGTAGCTAAACTGTGTTAAGAGAGTGTCAAGGCTTGTACGGCTGAACCACGGTGACATTTTAAATTTCAACTGTTCGTTTCTCTTCGGCGAGGAGATTGTAGCACAGAAAACTTTCCACTGTCAAGAGGCACTCAGGTTAATGTGGTGATTGTATAGTGCACCAAGAGCAGCTCTGGGTCTTATCTCAGGCTGTTTGTTATAAACTTAATGCAAATATGTGACATTTCATGGAAGTAAACGTGCAGGCTGTTGTTACTTTTTTTTATCAACAAAGGTTAAAAGTTCAAATCCAACATCAAGTTAGCATTCTTTTAATATGTATGTGTCCCTACGCTCTAAAACAGCATTCAGAGTTAAAGTTCAATAGTTTAATCTCGTCAGATCTCGCTGGTATCAAACATACAGACTATTTTTAACTACCGTATTTTTCGGACTATACGGCGCACCGGATTATAAGGCACATTAAGTGAAACTAAAACATTTTGACAGATTTTTGGGTGCCGTGTACCACAGCAAATCAGTTTGAAGTCATTAAGCACAACCAGAATACTGGTACATAAGGTGAACTTGATTATAAATCTCACTGTGGATTTTTGAGAAACTTAAAGGATTTTAAGGGCAACTTATAGTCTGAAACATACGGTAATGAGCATAATAGATTGAATACTATTCATAATTCCCAAACAGCTGTTCTTCAGCACAAACATTTTAATTTTAATTTCCGTCACCAGTGGCTTTCTAAAGGTGAGAGTATATAATCATTGTCAGCTTCTTCTGTAGATGCTCCAGGACTGTAATCATTTACATACAAACTTCCAAATATATTTCATATGATCAGGAAAAAAACCCAGCTAAAGATCAATCAAAAGGTATAAACTACTTGTGTTTTTATGGGTAAAAATGAAAACAAGCAGGTGTAATGGTGCAGCACTTTAAAGTTTTATATTTGGCAGAACATCCCTCCACATCCTTTAATGATAAAAACAAAACCTGTATTGTAAGTGCTTTACCAGTTCTTCCTTCAACTTTGACCCCTCATTCCTAACTGTGTGTTCACACTTAAACATAACTGCATCAGGACAGAAATTACAAATTGCAAATAGAAATTGCTTTTAGAAATTACAGTTCATCTCCTCCCCTCCCCAACAACGAACGCACACTTGACGTGCAGGGTCTCCTGAAGAAGCTGAACAGTAGAGGGTGGTAATGTAGCATTGAACTGTGATCCTCTGCTCTGCAGCCATAACAGAATATGAAGATTTTTCTTTTAAATTTTTTTTTATAATACTGCTGTCAACTTAGGATGGTCAACATCTATCACGACTTACATCCAACCATTACCACCATAAAACAGAGCACCAGAGCCGTATATTACTTTTTTTCCAGGCGTTCACACATCCTTCAAAGCATTTCAACGCTGTTTGTGTTAATTTATAAATCCATTTGTGATTAAACAGATGGAATACCAGCTAAAACGGGATGCTAGTATGTTAAATCATCTACTAAAGGTCTGTTTCTGTTCTTGTACTGATCACCACACACCCATACTGATGTTTAACACACAAGGCTATGTGAGAAAGTGTGAGAAAGTGTGAGAAAGTGTAAACTTGTGTGTGAAAGGAAGACAACTACACAATCAGGCTTTGTAAAGCATATGTGAACCTGATGGGTAATCCACAACTCCAATAATGTTAATAGCTACGGGTGATAAGGACTGTGTCATGTGCATGTGTGTGTGAGAGAGAGAGACAGCTTCCCAGGTCGAGAAGCACTGTAGGAAATGAAGGGATCAGGAGCAGAGAGCAGATTACTCTTACTGAGAATAATGAAATTATTTCTCACCTTCAATTACTTGATGAGGAAAGGAAATAGTGCATGTGTGAGTATCTGGTGTAGTTATCGCTCCCAGGAACTAAACCTCTTTTGGGCGTTTTCCTGAAAACTATGTGTGAGCATCACGTGTGATTGTAAGAAACACTAATACTGAAGTGCCTCTATACGCATTAGGTTCATCCCTGTTACACAAATAAATGAAAAAAAAAAAGATTCTTAAAATGTAAAAGTGTTCATTGACTGTTGTTTTTCATGTGTGCTGTACCTAAAAACCAACACAAAACAACAAATTTAATGTTTGTGCATAGTGTAGGAATGGGATTTTGCTACGAGGTTGTTGAAAATCATGTTTAAGACAAACTAAAAACTTTTTTTAACCTTGACTGGAGGCATTTTCTTTATTTGTAATCATAACAATGCACTTTTAAACACATTGAATAGAAACATGAAGAACAAGAAACAAAAAAGTAAAACCAATAAAGGACTTTTTGTCTAAGTAAAGTTACTGTACACATCAGATGTGACAGGAACTTCATTGTTTGTTGGTCATAAATTCAGCTTTTTCCACCAACAAACTACAAACCTGCTTGCAGACTCTTTGCAGCTTTTTCTATTTTACAACCTGAACAGAATAATGCAGGTTACAACAAGTGGTACGCCAGTGTCCTCCGTTACTGAGGGATTTGAAAAATAAATGTTTGTAGATTTTAAGACGTGTGATTTTCTGGACTAAAACTGAACAGGACATGCAGTAAACCTTAATGTTTCAAGTAGGAAGGAGTTACATTGTGTAGAATAGAGGTAGGGTTTTGCTGTTGCTTGTCCGAGGCAGTGCAGAATAACAGATCCAGGCAAGGAAGGGAGCAATTTTATCCACCACCATGTGCAATGGCGGAGCCAGGGGGTTGCCAGTGGTGGCCTTGGCCATCATAGATTAATCTTTATCCACCCCAATCATTTGAGAAAACTATATTTTTAAATATAAGAAGAACTAGAAACCATAGTTTCCTCATATGATTGAGGTGGCCAGTTGACATATATTTATGTAAAGCGGCAGCCATCTTGGATTTGTAACAAGGCAACTCAATTTTTGACAGCAATATTTCTTTATTATAAAGATGTAGTCACACACCAAAATGGAAGTCTGTATTTTACTTATTTTTCAAGTTTCCCAGCTCACAAAATTGACGGACAGAAGATATTTCCAATAATCTTCTTCGTTCTGCCACGGGGGGGTGGGTGGGGTGGGGGTGGGGGTGGGGTGTCAACAACTGGGTGTTCACAATCAGCCAAAACTATTATAGTATTACTGGTATACACTGCCTGCCCCCCCCCAAAAAAAAAGTCGCCACCAAAAAAAAGGTCACACACTATTATTTAGTTGGACCGCCTTTAGCTTTGATTAGAGCATGCATTTGCTGTGTCATTGTTTCTATAAGCTTCTGCAATGTCACAAGATCTATTTCCATCCAGTGTTGCATTAATTTTTCACTAAGATCTTGCATTGATGACTAGGCACTAGTCATGATGGGTGCATCACTTCACCTGCCTCTCTTCTTACCCTGATGCACCCATCACTCTGGAACAGAGTGAATCTGGACTCATCAGACCACATGACCTTCTTCCATTGCTCCAGAGTCCAATCTTTATGCTCCCTAGCAAATTGAAGCTTTTTTTCCAGTTAGCCTCACTGATTAGTGGTTTTCTCAAGGCTACACAGTTGTTCAGTCCCAATCCCTTGAATTCCCTTCACATTGTGTGTGTGGAAATGCTCTTACTTTCACTATTAAACATAGCCCTGAGTGCTACTGTTGTATTTCTGTATTTGCAAATCTTTTCTATCTGTTAAACATAAAGCTACAGTCCAGTAACAACACTGTATATATATATATATATATATATATATATATATATATATATATATTTCAAGCAGCTAAATACCAGGGTAATTTTACTGTGTGGTTTCAACTGGTTACTGTGTGGTTACTGTGTGGTTACTGTGTGGCACAGAGGTTAGAAGATGGGCCTGTAATCGGAAAGTTGCAGGTTCACCTCCCGGTACAGTCAACATCAAAAAAATGTGGGTGGAAAAGGTGGAACACCCAC